ATAAATGACTCCATTCATTTGATGGGTCAAAGGTAATAACGTCTCTCGTTCGCATTTCTGTTAAAATTCAATGCACGACATTACAGTCAGAAAAATGAAGAACTCGTGAAAAGTATGCATAAATATATACCACATATATTTGTCATACAACAAGTGACACGTACCCACGTGACTCACTACAATACTTAAAGTTCTTTGTGCTTTGTTTTGTGTGTTTTTATGTAAATAAATATATTGCAACTTTTGGTTGCACAAGTTTATTCTTTGTTTCCTATATGAACCTTTAAAAGTTCTATTTGTGACTGAGGTCCTCATTTACAGCCATACCACCCTGAACACGCTCGATCTCATCTGCTAAGCAGGGTCGGGCCTGGTTAGTACTTGGATGGGAGAATGTCTGGGAATACCAGGTGCCGTAACCTTATGCACTTCTCACAAATCCCACCATGGGGTGTGTTGTTCATGGTAAGAGCCATTGTCAGTACTGGGGGTTAAGAACGGGCAGCACGGAGGCGCAACTGGTAGAGCTGCCGCCTCTCAGCGAGCAGGTCACCCCAGTTCAAATCCCAGCTGGGGGTCTTTCTGGCTGGAGTTTGCATGTTCTCTCTGTGCATGCATGGGTTTTCTCCAGGTACTCCGGTTTCCTCCCACAGACTAAAAACATGCATGTTAGACTGATTGGTAACTCTAAATTGTCCCTAGGTGTGAGTGAGAGTGGTTGTTTGTCTCATTTGTCTCTATGTGTCCCTGTGATGGACTGGAGACCTGTCCAGGGTGTACCCCGCCTCTTGCACAGTGATGGCTGGACATGGGCACCAGTGACCCCCCGCGACCCGAAAAGCAAGAAGTGAGTAAAGATAATGGATGAATGGATGCACCCCAAAAGGTCTGATCCTAGAGTCGCCCCTTGACCTCAGATGTGAGTTTTTCTGCATGACTGGAAGACTTCAAGTTAGCTGGTGGACTGGAGAGGGATCCACACTACACCACCACTCCCAACGTGGAACAGGACAAAGTGGGTAAAAAAAAAGGTCATGTGAAGGTGAGGCAATAATATTTATGAACTACTGAAAATTAATGTGTTAATCCTTGCAGAAAGTCTTTGGCTCACCTAATTTAGACTGAACAAAATGAAATGAACTTGTTGATGTAGTGATATTGGTGCAGAAGTCTGAGTGTGATACTGCTCTGTGCAGCCTTTGTGCTACCCCACGCACGGTGTGGTCTGACAGACATTTATTGTACATGTGGAGGATGAAGTTTGGGGTTTCCTGGTGTAAGAAGCATGCTGTGTAATCAAACTAAATTATCTCACTGGCAAGTTCTAAATAATTGTGAGAGAATAAGATTTTATATTTTCTGACATGTTATGAAGTGAAAATAAACAACAGATTATAATCACTGTTTACAGCTCTGTTTCTGTTGCTATCAAAATCTCTGATCATGTCAGGTTTGAGTCATTCTGAAAGGTTTTTTTAGCCACGTATTTTGACTGACATGACTGGTTGGTTCTATAAACTTCGGACAGAAAATCTTTAAAACTGCTCGTGTTCGTATTTGCATAGATTCTGTATGTAGTGATGTTATTCAGCCACAACACAAAGAAGTAACACCAAGTCATGTGTTGCTTTGATATGTCATTAACATCACCCAGATAAATTTGCACTTGTTCAGATACCACACGGTGTGGCTACACCACCAACAAAACCAAAGACAGGTACTTGTGTGTGTTTCTCACGATCATAAGCACAACACATATACGGGGATATGGCTGACAGCTCCAACAGGATGTGACGTAACCCCTGATTTGTATTTACGTAGCCCTCCACGGTAGACAGTGAAATTCGTCATCGTAACGCCACAAAGGGCAAAATCGACAGCTAAAACTCCCACGTGTGTTACCTAAAGATACATAGTGTGGGAAAAGTGCAGGAGCAGTTACTACCAATGGAAGAGCAAAGGTTAAAATGTGCCATTTAATGCACTAAGAGTCATGCTGAGATACAGTATTAGTGATAATGTGATAATGTCTCATGGTTCACGAGACATTATCGGATTTATAACTTTTGGAATCAACTTAAAGCTTGCCAAAGACAACTGACATAAAAAAAAACACAAAATAGCTCAAACTGTCAACTTTACAGAAATTGACATAAACTTTGAAGTAGAAGTAGCTGAGACTGATCCCCAACACGTTTTGAACATTAACAGATTGTACAAGATCTTTGTTTAAAATTTGCCATTAACTATTCAGAGTGAACTCTCCCTGTCTGGTAACAAAATGAACAACTAAACAGATTTTATTAAAATTTTCATGCAATATTTATTAAATGTAAATCTAAAACTGATTGCATCTTGGAGTCAGTCCAGTTTAAGATTATCCCAACACAAAAAATTACTATAAATTAGTTCATTTGACACATTTTGCACCAAGATTTGCTGCAGTTTTAGCTAAAAGTCATTGACAACATATAAGAGCTGCTCTTTGAGCAAGATTTTTGTCTTAAACTCCAGCATTAACTTTTAGAGTCTTCTTGGTTTGTTTGTTTGTTTGCAAAATATCTTATGACCCACTGAATGGAGTTTAATGAACGTTTCAGAAAGTAATTGGTAGCGTTTTCACCAACAACTGAACATTTGTGGCTAATCCAATTCAAGATGGCTTCCCCAGTTAATCAACATTAATTAGCACAAAAATAGCTATAATTCAGGCAGTTTTACAGATAATGAGCTCAAGTTTGAGGTGGTGGTAGCTGAGAGTCATCACAGTACACAATAAGAGCGATGTCATTCAGTATTGCTTGAGACTTTGCAAAAATTATTTTCGAGGTTTGACAAAAACAGCTACGTCTCCATCACTTCTCAGAATAAGATGATCTTAGCCTAAAACTCTGGCATAAAAGGTGATGGGTGAAAGAACATGTCTTTTATTTGTTTAATTTACCAAAACAAATACAAATCTCAAACTAAAAATAGGTCAAGGATATCCTACTTTAATTTATTTGATCTGTATAAGGTTCCTCAGAAGATTCCATACAGTCCACTAAATAATTAGGACAATTAAATGTTAAAATGTAGATATTTATTGAAAAAACAGATAAATACAATTTACAACTAAGAAAACTGGCATACAAAAAATATCTTATTGGAAAAACATTTAGATTAATCTCGAGGTATTGGGACAAAACAAAATATCAAACTAGACGTGAAATGTGTAATTTTTTTAATTTAAAAAATACTTTTTTTATTTATCTTAGCCAATTGTAACAAAAAAATAGCATTATTAATAAAGGAACTAAATGTAAAGAATGTTGAACATAAAATTAAACATAATACATCATTTTGATATGTTCATAAATGCAAACAAAAAATAAAAAGGATCAAAACCCAAAGAAAAACAATAACTGTTTATCCTTTGACATGGTTTTACAAATGACTGCCAGAAAACAACTCTTAAAGTGAGTTTGACAAAGAATACGACCTTTTTAATTATTACAAACACTCACACAGTGCAGATATAAAATACCCTTACATATGTAAAATATCAAATAAGAAAAACCACTAAAAGACGTGTACTGGTTGTGTGATGATTATCATCAGGTGCTGGTAAGTCACTTCACAGCTGAGCAGTTTCTACAACTCCCTGCAGTGTCGCTGCGTGGAAGGGAGGCTGAATTTCTTTGAAACTTTTCACCAACTTCCTGGATTGTGACATTTACTATTTCTGCATGGACGGTTTCCTCTGTTTACTCCATCTGCAACACGTGCTGAGGCTTTTAGGCTTGCACCAGAAGAGATAAGTGTTTACACACTCGTGCATGAGCATCAATAATACTAGCTGATGGTAATTTATCAAACGGATAAGTAACAATGTGTTAGACATCTTGTGCACTTACTTGGCAGTAAATGTTACTCTAAAAGACATTGAAGTGTTACATAAAAAGACTGGAATGTGATTGAAGGATATATGGACTGTCATTTTTAGCAGTGTTTTTATTTTGTTATAATTAGATATTTATTTGAATATTTACAACCAACTTAAAATATTAGGCATTTATGTAGGAGTGAATCTTTTTTGTTTCTGGTAGATTTTACAACTCAGAGTCAGTCAGATGCTCAGAAAGTTCTGGTTTCTTTGTGAAATGGAAAAGAGAAAATAAAGAGGCAACACTTTGACTGTCCTAGTCTGATAAATCTCTCTCCGGTGAGTGAAAACCAACATGAAAGTGCTCACATTTATGGCATCACTGTTTCCAAAGGGCAGAACAAGAACTTAAAAAACAAAAAAGTGGAGGCATTTCTCAGTGGGAAAGCAAGAGGCTCGTTTTGCTCAAGTTGGTATTTCCCCAACCCACAAACCATAAAAAACATGTTTTTTTGTTCTTATCATGTCTGCTGAACAGAACAGATGGAAAAGTCTGAGCAAACAGAACAGAAACAGAGCCTTGAAGGCACCACAAAGAAAAGGTAAAATAGTTTTCAGCAGCTGATAAGAATGTATTGATTAAACTTCAGTATTGTTCATACTGTACATTTCTCAGACTTGTCCTATTGCCCTATTAGATTATACTTCATTATATAATGTCATGAGGTTTACAAAACCAGCAGGGAAAACATGAACATAGACATTTTAACAGGATTTGCCTGATGTCTCAGCCATAACAGTTAAAAATATGAAATTACGATAATGGCCTCATAGAAATCTGTTTCAAACCAAAATAAAACAAGAGAATAAATGTTTGAATGATGTTTCAGTTTGTACAGGTGAGGTATAAATACAGATTCAGACCTTACTCAGTACTCTATGTTATGTTAGAACAGAAGAAAGACAGGTCAAATATTGACCACAGTTCAGTTTGAAAACACACCAGACCATTTCTCTGATGGATGTCTAACATGCAACTTACAATTTAAGGAAGTGTCAAGTGATCGGATGACGTTTATCTGGTCTGAAAGGTCACAGCGTTATTTGAGGAACAGGTGTCAGGAAAAGTTTCACCTCAGGGCTCCAGATTGAGTTTGACAGAAGTTTCACTGCTTTCACCGCTTTCTTCCACGGGCCTCCGACACAACGAGTCACTGGCTGCAAGCAAAAGATTAAAATGTGAACAAAAGCAAGATAAAGTAAAAGTAACACATTCATAACACATTTTATCACTGTTGTTTTGATTTTTTTTTTAAAAACTTATTGTGTCTTTTCAAACCAATTTTAGTGAAACTAAAAGGTAAAAAAAAGAATGAAGTGCAGATGTGTCCTGATGCATGTTCAGTATCCAGAGGTTGAGTCACGTCCTCTGGATCCAAAGGACCTGACCTTGACCTGGCCTGAGGATTCAATCTTGTTAGATGTGTAAAATATCCATCCCTCGCAGAAAAGACATACAGGTAAACCGTTTTTGTACATGTGATCACATGAATGTGTTAAAAATGTTCCAAAATCAAGTTTTCCATGTGCAAAGCATATTTCACACGTTTAAAATATTCCACCATGTTTCACCAGACTAACCAGGGTTTGGTTTGTGGGAATGCTCTTAACATTTAGATCAAGGTTATTTTTACATATTTTACATTACACAACTACTCTGGCAAAACAAATTATATTTCTGCAGGGAGGCTGCACTTGGAATTCCACAGCTAACTGCTAATCGTGCTATTTGAGCTTGGAAATAATTATTAAACTCGTTGTAAATAGTCATGCTACGGAACGTTGACCCTAGTGTAAAGGTTCACTGAAAGTGTTTGTATAAACTGCTATAAAAATTGTTTAGATTACAGTAGTCCCTCGTTATTTTGCAGTTCATTTTTTACGGACTCGCTATATTGCAGTTTTTCAAAGTAAGATTGGTCATGACACACAATGGCTGATTGACGGATGAGCTGCACGATCGGCATGGAATTTTATTTAAAATAAATAATTTTAAATGATTTAGCACCTGTGTGCAGCCCACAGCTGTGGGAGAAGCCTCCTCCTGCAGCTGATCAGCTGATCTCCGCTGCGGAGTGCAGTGGGTGTGGCCGAGAGTGCAGCCGGAGGCAGAGCTGAAATCATGTGGACTTTTAGAGCGTTTAGAGTTTAGAAACATGGTTTCGAACATTGCAAGAGTTTGGGAAGGGTTTAAAACGCCTTCCTAAACTACTACTACTATTACTTGTACTACTATTCTTACTTTGTGGTTTATCACTTATCAGGGGGTTTCAGGGTACAGATTCCCCGAGATAAACGAGGGATATATTTTAAATTGGCAGCAATCTACTTTGGTTATAAACAGATAATCTTGTTACTGCAGTCAGAATTCATCTCCATTTCTTCAAACTGAGAATATTCAATAAGAAATCTGCACCAGGTAAGATACTAACTGTGCATAAACTCTTCACAGAACCCTTACTTAAAAAAAATCTGAATGATAGATTTTGATATAGAAACCAAACATTTTTGTTTTTGTACTTGTTTTGCAAATTATCAACCCAAGCCCAGAAACTTCCCGGCATACTTTGCATCGTCTTCTTCTGGTAGCAAAGGATGATGTGCATCTTGTAGGTTATTGCAGCCCAAACAAGCAGTCCAGCTATTCCCAAACAGACAAGGATAATATCTGAAAAACAGACAAGCCAGCTGTGATTTATGATCCTCTGTAATCATAAGAAGAGGCAGCTTTGGTTTTACACAAAGATGTCAATGAAAACCTGTGTGGTTGCTTGAATGAGATGGAGGATTCTCGTTGTCTTTCTGTGGTGGGGGACTAGTGGTGGTGGCAGAATTCAGTGTTTCAGTCCCCTCATGTGAACGAGGCTTTGTTACATATAAGGAAAATGTTTTTCTGATAGATGTGGAGGACTGAGGATTACTGCTTGACTCCTCGTTACAAACAACGTCACAGGTTGAACTTCCAGGCGTTTTCACTCCTGTGGCTTTACAGCTAGAATAAAAGATTACAGATAAATCAGATTTAAGTCATAAATACAGCTGAAGCTGAAACGATTCATCTCGTGAATGCTGATTATTGAATAAAAAAGAAATAAATTAACACTACTCGTTCCATTTTCGACACGGGGTGTTGTTTTCTGTGCTGAAATATCCTTCTTTGCATTTTGAACAAACTGACACGAAAAGAAAGAAGAATATTTATTAAATAAAATCAACATATTTATAAAGTGAATGCTGAAAAACTGTTCTGACTGAGCAACATACCCCCGTTTTTTATTTCAGATCCTGGCTGACACTTGCACATGGCAGAGTTTACAAACCGGGGAACAAATCCTTCACGACACTGGCAGATGGCGTCACTCACTTTGGTGCACGGCACTTTGACATAACTCCCTGAGAATAAAACAAGACGTTAGCTTGTAAAGTTTACACAAGACACGTCTATTCAATTCATTGGTAAACTGTCAAAGTTTGTAGGTGAGGTTCTGGAAGCCCTTCTTTTAAAGTGTAATATTCAAAAGGCCAAAACTGAATTTGTTCCTTTATAAGAAGAAAATAAAAGTGGTTGGAAATATCTTAATGGTATGTGTGCACTTATTTATCATTCAGTTGAGCAAGGCAATCTTGGTTAGTGGCTAAATTGTGAGAAAAATCAGCGAATACTGTAACAGAGCAAGATGGAGCCAGAAAACATGCAAACTTTAGAAAACGTCACTTCTCATCTTTCATAATGACTCTGTTTAATTTGATTCTGCTCACATATAAGTACTTATTAATGGTGGTGTAAAGTTTTAAGTCTTACCCTCCATGCACTTTGTACATCCTGTGCACTTTTGAGAACTATTTTCTGTAGGCTGATAAGATCCGTCTGGGCAGGCTTCACAAGACGTTTTACCTCGATCATCACGTACTTTTTCACCTTTACATGTTTTTATCAGAATCAGAAGAAACAACAAGCTTTAATTATAAAGCACGATAAAGAACGAACAGACTCTACAGCATGTCACAGAACAAGAAGAAAAAAAACAGAAGATTTTACCTTTACGGCAATTCAAGGCGTCTGAATAAATAATAAGTTTGTTAAAAGCTAAAAATAAGACAAGCAGACTGCGCAGAGCCATTTTTAGTCCTCCTCTAACGACTGTGGCACGATGTCTTGTGAGCAGCGCCACAGAAAGTGTGACACAGAAACTGTCAGTATAGAAGGTGGATTTCCCAAGCCCACGCATTTTGCATATTAAAACAAAGGGGGAAAAAAACTGGGAGGATTCAATCAAGTCAATTCAACTTGAAAAAAACACATTTGAAACAACCCAAGTTGACTAAAGTGTAAAAGCAACATAAAAGGTGAAATAAAATTGTTAAAGCTAAACCATTAAAAGCTGAAATAAGAATCATTTAAAACGCTCTGACACAAGTGACTCAGTTTTGTTTGACTTGCACAAAGACTTGGCATTTGTTTTTACGCCAGCTGTCCTTCCTGACGCAACCACAGACCACTGAGCTACCACAGCCCTCTGTGTGGAGCAGAGAGCTGCCATAGAGCACCCAGGGGAGCAGAAGATGGTGGTTAAGGGCCTTGCTCAAGGGCCCAGAGTGGGACGAATGAGGGTGGGGGCAGGTGTGGGTGCTTCACTTTCTCATCTACATTTTGATGTCGGTCCAGGGAGTTGGACCGGTGACCTTCTGATCACAGGCCCACCTTCTCTAACCTCTGCTCCACCACTCCCTGGGAAGAGACTAAGCATTCAGCAGCTTTGGAGAACAATCTCCCTTACTGACTAATCCAGAACATGGAACGTCTGAATGGAGTTGTTCAGAAGATCTTTGAGATTCACAGCTTAAATGAAAACAGAGAAGTTCAAATAAATAATCAGGAGCTGTCGCTGGCTCTTTTCCTTGCACCAGTTTGGAGTTTGGCTGCAGAGATTTGAACCAGCTGCAGATGGGGGGATTACAGACGGACTGATGCAGAGAGTTAGAAGGTAATTAATGCTGCAATAACTGTCTTCGTCTTATTGACAGAATGAATGGATTTAAGCTAAGAAATATTTTCAGAGTCGTAGAAAACAGCTCTTTACCCCTGAATTAAGTCTAGAAATGAGAAAATCGAATTTGAATATCTTTAAGTGGAACATTAATATTGTTAAGATGGCCATATGCTATCATCTCAGACATGCAGTACATCCAACATTTTATTGCTTTAATACAGATTAGGATTTTCCCATCAGATGATGGGTCTGAATTTAAGGACATATAAATTTATGTATCACCCGATTAACAATGGATTGATTGAATTCAACTTTATGTATACGTAGATGTAATGCACAATATTATTGGCAAGGTATCAATATTGGTTGATAGTAGTGTTAACATTAAATATCGGACATTCCATCAAAATAACTCACTGATATAAAAGATGCTGTTTTTGTGACAACCCAGTGACATGGATCATGGATGCCTGCAGCGGCAGCACAACGTGATGAGGTCGTGCACACCTACCTGATCTCACGGCAGAGAGGAAAATTCAAAATGTCAGTGGTGTGGAAGTTTGTTTTTCATTGGGGATACTGGATTCCAACGATTTTTTGGACTACGTTGGGCCTCGCTACATCGTCCTCAGTTGGAGATATTTTTCCTATAACCTTACCCAAGTTACAAGCCTTCATTTCCGACGATATATATACGATATTCACATATATATATTCATATGTATATGGATTACTAAAAGTCACTCCACTATTCAAGAAAAACAAAAGACAAATCAATATGAGTCAGAATAAAATCCAATTTCGGTCAGTTCAACTCAGTTTTAACACCTGATTTCATTCATATGTAGTGTATTATAAAATGTCAATTAGTAAACGTTATTTATCTAACATTGAACAAACAAGGTTTATGTTACTGCGGTGACAAATCTGTCTTTTGGATTCCAGATAAATTCTGAGTAGTGAACAAAAAAAACTCTGTCATGTGTGTATGTTAAATGAGCAAAGACAAGTTTTAAGAATTGTGAACAGTTTTTAAAATCTGAGGTCAGGACTTGAGGATCATTTTAGAAGTATCTTGGTGTCCAACCTTTTTTATTCTTGGTCAGCTTTACTCAAACTAATTCTAAAGCTCCTCATCCTTCTCCGAAAATGACAGATAAGGGTTTTAACAATATGAACCAGCGTTTACCAGTTGATCTATGTTCCCACCTCATCTATGGTCATGAGCTTTGGGTTGTGAGCGAAAGAATGAGATCACAGATACAAGCGGCCGAAATGAGTTTTCTCCGCAGGGTGTCTGGGCTCTCCCTTAGAGATAGGGTGAGAAGCTCGATCATCCGGGAGGGACTCAGAGTAGAGCCGCTGCTTCTCCACGTCGAGAGGATCCAGTTGAGGTGGCTCGGGGATCTGGTTAGGATGCCCCCTGGACGCCTCCCTGGTGAAGTGTTCCGGACACGTCCCACCGGGAGGAGACCCAGAGTTTAGAGGGTCAGTTCAAAAAAGACCAGACAGGAAACAGTACTGGAAAATAAGTTTTTATTGTGAAAGGGAAGGGAAGTGTGACAGGTGGAGCAGACACTTAACAGGTTATTGTATATTGATCAAGAATAGAATTAATAATGGCAGATTTGGATGAATTTAATTTGTTCTTATTATTTCTTTTGCAGGTTTTGGAAGGACAGACCAGGATTCTGGGGTTGTAGAGCTGTGAGTTGGAGTCCCAGGTCCTCCAGGTAAATCAGTGTAAGTCCAGGTGAGTGGTGGAGAGCAGCCAGTTGGCTGAAAGTAGACTTCTCTGTTTAACAATGAGAAGACATTGACTTGGAGCTGCCGAGGAACACTCAGGGAAACGAAGTTCAAGAATTACAGGAAGGATCTCTGCACCAAGAAAACTGGGGAAAATATAAACTTTTGTACGAGGTCATATGAGAACAAAAAAAAAATTCACAAGGAAATGCACAACATGATGTTCAACTGTCCCACAGAGAACAGTGACTCCACTCAACCTTGAATACCCGAGGCGTCGTCAGGAAACTCTTCTCCAGCTCATCTGTAGAGAAGAAGGTTAGAGGAGAAATACGGCAACAGAACGAGGGCCTGAAACCCTGACAGTCTAACAGAGAGCAAATTATATCATCATTAAACAGATTTTCAAGATGTCATTTCATTTTCAAAATGGCTGCCAATGCTAACTCACATTTGCCATAGCAAAAATGTTATAGTGTAGCTAAAAATGTACATTTTATATGGTAGTAGCTGAGAGTCATTCTCAACACATACTTTGAGCATGATCTCACAAGATGTGGCTGCAGCAGATGACTGTGGTGGCCATCTTGGATTAAATCTCTGGAATGAAAGGTGGCAGGCTTCAGGAAGTGCAAGACCTTTACTGAGCAGATAATCGTTAACTCTCAATCAATATTTCTACTCAGGTAGTGAGTTCCTTGTGCGTTAAACTGAAACTACTTTTTGTTGTTATTTTTCAACCATAGAAAAATGCTGCTGTATCATTCACACTTGTTAAATAAAGTTTTCATAATTCAGAAGTTTAGTCATTTCATTTATAACATTTTTGGCAATTTATCAAACGTGTTTGTTTAATCTGATTAAAAGGATAATTTTGAAAAAAATCTCAATATTTTTTCAAAATATCTTTTGCAATAAATAAACTAAAAATGTGTCTTCCAGCTGCTTTTTTAGAATTTTTCATCATGACAAAGGTTATTTTTGTTAACAAAATGTCATATTCAGCTTAAGAGGTAGTTTGGTATGTTTATTAAGAATTATCAGGACTTATTTTTCTCAGTACATTGTGGTTTGGCTGTCGGAAACTCATCAGCTTTTTGTTGTTTTGCCGGTAAGAACATGACGGTGCGTTTGCATATGGAGTGCACATGGAAATAAAACCCACACAGTCGTGATCAGTCTGCAAGATATAACTAGAGAGTATGCCTCTTCAAAACGGATGTTAACACCTCCACTTGAATGTACCGCAATCTTATTCAAGTTTTTATGAAAATATCCTAAAATCAGTAATAAAAATATGTTGATTTATTTTGAAGTGTCTGTGAATTTTTTTTTAAGTATAATAATTTGTCAATTAATGCATTTGTAAATAAAGGGGGAGCATTTATTTATTTTTATTTTTGGAAGTTGTTCACGTGATGAGTCAACATGATGATAGATATAAAAACTCATTCATTGTTTCTCTTTATCATTACATAACCGGTAACAATTGGTCTAGACTTGAAATTTTAAATTTTCTGAACTTTGTGTTGGTTGAGTTGAAGGATACTATTTTTTTTACCTTCAGAAAGTTTGACAAGACAGAATTCATGTGCTTCTTTTTAGTCCTGGTAAACTGATTAAATAGAGTAATTTTTTTTCTGAAAAATACTGATGACAGAGATTTGCTTTGTTATATAAAAAAGTTATACAGAGGGAAAGAAATATTTCTGGAAACATCTGAGCATTTTTCTGTCTTTTATCAGAAGATAAACTGGATCTTGAAAACAGAAACTTGTTATATTGAATGACCCAACCCAATTCAGATTTCTCACCGGTGGTGGCCGGTCAATGGGGGCAGGCGGGGCACAGCCCCACCTGAAAAAAGGATTTGCCTCACAAAGTAGTTCCTCCTAATAAATAAATTCCTTTTTTACTAAGAATGCTGTGTATTATTTTGTTCTGTGTGTGATTTTCAACTATTTTGACAATTTATGTGGAATTGAAAAGGATTTTTAGTGAGTCATCCTCAGTTTTTAAAAAAACTTATATACAGTAATGAGACAGTACCATTCAACGACCCGTGTTTGTCAAGCAGATTCAAATGTGCAGCCAGTGATCCGAACAAGCAGGTCCAATAGTTTCATTTAGGGAGGCTGACACATTTGGATGGTTTTAGCACAGTGATAGGACCTCTATCTAGATCTGACGTGAGCTCAAACACAGGAGTGAAACCTGCTGAGACCATCAGTGGAGATATTCTGTTTTTTAATCCATCTGGAGCAGACAGATGGGACCAGAACAGAAAACAGAGAAGAGCAGAGGAAAGTAAAAGAACAGGACATGACAGGACCTTATTTACACAATTGTGTGGCTTGTGTGTGTGTGTGGCTGTGGTGGGTCAGTGGTTGAAGCAGTGATCTTGTAGCTGAATGTATGTGGGTTAGATCCTCATTTAAATCTTCTATTTGATTTGGTGATGATATACTATATCACAATTTTTCTTTTTATTATTTTAGAGTTACTTCACTGAACTTTTTTCTCTCGTTTCACTATGTTAATCTGGAGTATGATTTCAGAATTATTACTTCAAAGCAAATTAGAAATCCAATTCAGAAAGCTGTGCTTCTTTCAGCTGGGGGTGTGAGGCGTCCATTTCTCTGATTTATTAGACCAAAAAATGCTTTTCATTAATCTCGACCTAGAGAAAAAAGGCCAAAACTTTGTACACACACACACAAACAACAATAAATTAAATATTAAGCAACATATATCCTTTTTTTTCCCACAGTAAATAACGCAATTTGTAAGAAAAAAAGATTTGGGGCATTAATGTCCACCCCACTAATATTTTATGCTCAGGAGCTGCTGGGGGAGTGGTGGCGCAGAGGTTAGAAGATGGGCCTGTGATAGAAAAGTCGCAGGTTCAACTCCCGGTATTGTCAACATCAAAATGTGGGTGGAAAAGGTGGAACACCCACACCTCCCTCCACCCTCATTCACCCCACTCTGGGCCCCTGAGCAAGGCCCTTAACCCCCACCATCTGCTCCCTAAACAGGTCTCTCTTGAAAATGAGTTCTCGTGGCTCAATGAGGCTAACCTGTATAAATAAAGTGTAAATGAATAAATGAAGAAAAAAATATGCTGCTATTTCTCACCATTGTTTCCAAAGAACAAAAGACAACAAAGTCCCCAGTCTGAACAAGAAACTTATACTGAACCTTTTTTGCACTGTGTTCAAAAATTATTTAAATCTAATCAATAAATTATCTAAATGTGCAGACACTATGTGCATAACTTAAAAAAAGTAAAGTGTACTTTGTGGTGTGAACCTCAGACAGAAATTGAGAAATCAAAAACGCTGAACTTAAGTTTGTCTATTTTTTTGTCTCTTTATAAAATTTGAAGAACATTACTGAAGAATTAATAGAATGTAAGACATTAAATAATGAAAATGTGTGTCAAGAAGTTTAACGGACTGATACTTGTACCGTCACAGTTAAAGTGTCTTCACAACCTTTTCTTTTCGTGTTTCCAGCTCCTGTATTTTTACATTTTTGTACAACTTTTTCCTGTAATACTAATTATAACACACAAAATCAGTGTTTAATTTGAGCCGGATCGTGCTGGAACAAGATCTGGGAACTCTCTTCTTTTGACAGGGTGTGTTCCGGTAACTGTTTGCTTGGGTCCTGTAACCCTCAGGCTTACTAATAATAAAGTTATGAACAAATATGACTGCCTTGAAAAAATAAACCTTATATTGGATGTTATCTGACAATAATTACATAAACACTAATTTTAAACACAACAGCCATGAGCTTCTTAATATCATATGCCAGCTGCCTCTGCAAATAAGCATTTCCACTTCTGCCCTAAAAAAAATCTCTGCCCCTGAACGAGTGGTGGAGGTGAGTGCTGAGCTAACCAGGCAGTTGTACCTGGGCTGAAGCTCACAGGCAGCCGCCATGAACAGACAAAGGAGACGCCTGGATGTTTCACACGTGGAGTCAGACAACACAGTGAATTCAGCGGAGAAGAATCAGGCTTGGAACTGTCAAGTAATGTGAGTGGGGGGGATGCTTGACTTTAGGGGAGTGTTTACAAATATAGGTAAATGTACATGTTTAACAATCCGTTAAAATGCACCAAAATGCAGGAAATCACATTTACTTTATTCAAAATTTTCTGGGGGAAGGACCACCAGACCTCCTGCCCCCAACCGCTCAGCTCTGTAGAGAAGAAGGTTAGAGGAGAAATACAGCAACAGAACGAGGGCCTGAAACCCTGACAGTCTATCAGAGAGCAAATTATATCATCATTAAACAAATTTTCATTATTTAATTTTCAAAACGGTTGCCACTGCTAATTCACATTTGCCATAGCAAAAATGGTTAATCCACTCACAATTACAGATAAAAATGTACAGTTTATGTGGTAGTAGCTGAGAGTCATTCTCAACACATACTTTGAGCATTATCTCACAAGATGTGGCTGCAGCAGATGGCTGTAGTGGCCATCTTGAATTAAATCTCTGGAATGAAAGGTGGCAGGCTTCAGGAAATGTAAGTCCTTTACTCTGAGCAGATAATCGTTAACTCTCAATCAATATTTCTACTCAGGTAGTGAGTTCCCTGTGCATGTTTGTTGTAATTGACAAGCTGAGAGTACTTTTTGTTGTTGTTTTAACCATAAAAAAATGCTGCTTTATCATTCACACTTGTTAAATAAAGTTTTCATCATTCAGAAGTTTAGTAATTTCATTTATAACATAAATTCAAAACAGTTCAAGACAAAAACAACTGAACTTCATTTTGTAAAAAGACGTTTCGTTTCTCATCCGAGGAGCTTACTCAGTTCAAAGAAAGACAGTGTGAAGTTTTGAGTCATAAAACTGAGATGTTCTGTATGCGGACTGCACTGACAACCCTCACAATAGGGGTTCATTAAGGTCATTGTTAGTTGGAATCACAGATGGGCCACTGTGGTTACATGAAAGAAAATCCTGATAAGTGTGGAAATGACCGGGTATCATGAAATAAAGAATTTAAAAGGTATATTATTTAATCATTTATTATATATTTAATTATTTAATTATGTATTTAATAATAAAATGATATATTAATGAATTATATTTAATTATCTATGTTCTATGTATTTATTTATTTAATTTTGTCACATTCCTTAGGTGTCAGGCCTAATGCTCTATTACAGATTTTTTGAAAGTTGAAATCTGAGATCTCCTCCTCTGTCTAGGTTTTTTTTTTTCTTTTTTTTTTCCTTTTTTTACATCACCCCCCTCTCAAACCATCTGCCTTCTCAGTCAAAAATGTTTTGGTCCTCAAGAGTGTCCCTTATCCTTGAGGTGTAGGTGAACAGCTGAGTCTTGTCTTGAAGAGCTGGTTCTCCTGTGTTGGACCATGCATCTGTGTAGAAGTTTGGTTTCTCCATCTGGACATTCCTCGCTGCAATGAACTGCATACCACCTCATCACTTGTATGTGTTTGGGGGTTTTGTCCTTAGAGTGGATCAGCCTCTGTCTGAGAGTTCTGTTGGGTTTGACATATACTGGAATGTTGTGTTTGGAGAAAATCCTATTTTCTCTGATACTCCAGCAACATAAAGGATGACAATGCTTTTCCATCTGTTATTCTCCTTGTTCTATTTAGTGGTGTGGGTTTTTTAGATTTCCTCGCTGACTTGACAAAAGCCCAGTTAGGATAGCTACATGTTTGGAGAGGGGCCTTTCTGGGTGGAGTTTGCATGTTCTCTCCGTGCATGCGTGGGTTTTCTCTGGGTACTCCAGTTTCCTCCCACAGTCCAAAAACATGCATGTTAGGCTGATTGGTAACTCTAAATTGTCCCTAGGTGTGAGTGAGAGAGTGAATGGTTGTTTGTCTCTATGTGTCCCTGTGATGGACTTGCGACCCATCCAGGGTGTACCCCGCCCCTCGCACAGTGATTGCTGGACATGGGCACCAGCGACCCCCGTGACCCAAAATGGAATAAACGGGTAAAGATAATGGATGGATGGATGGATGGATGGTTTTGTTCCTTTTCATTTCCTTCCCATTTTATAACATATTTTTAAAATTATATCAGACGTAGATGGCAAAAAACTATGATAAAACAGAAAAATACTAGTGTGGATACATTAGCTAAATCTGTTTAAATATGTATTTATTATTATTATTAAAGTATAATACTGTATATTACTCTTTATTTCAGGCTGCAGGTGCGTGTTTTGATTGCTTTTTTCCAATGTATCCACTAGATGGCGCTAAAGGGACAGTTCAGATCTGGTTCAGATTAAAACTGCTGTAAAGGCAAATGAAGAAACCATTTACGACATGTCGAAAAACGTGCCGAGCGTCACCACAGAGGTTTACTTATCATTTAATGTTTAAAACAGAAACTATCACATCAGACGTTTTCCCAGCAAGTCCGAAGTAGCGACTGACTTTCGGTTTAATATTAGTTTCGGGTTTTACATTATTTTTCTCAGAGAAAGCTATTAAAACTGGGGGGGAATTCCAGTCACTCGCCGTGTTTTCGTCTGTGACACAACAAACTCCACCAACCGCATTCTGTTGCAGATCCTGCCCAGAAAATAATAAACTATGCTGGTCACCGTTTTCTGTGCGCCGAGGGATCGCCCAGAAACTACATTTGCCCTCGACGTGTCCCCGGAACTGGAGCTGAGGGACTTTGTAGCACTTTGTGAACTAGAATCAGGAATCCCCGCTGGAGAAATTCAGGCAAGAGCCGAGTTTATGTGGACAGAGCTAACGGAGCTAGCGGCTAGCCTAGCTAGCATGAATTGGACGTGTGTTTTTGTCGTAGGAGTCGTTGCGAAACATGATTTATCGACAACAAACATGTTTACCGACATCATATTTAACATTGCAGATGGCACTAATCTAATTGAAAAGCTTAGTTAGCGGCAAACTTTAAAAAGCTACCTGCAGTCTAACAAGCAAATAGTTCATTTAGATATTTTAGCAAACAAAACTACTTGAAGCTTTATGGATAAAAGTTTGTGTACTTTGCAAATATACACTGCTGTTCAAAGATTTTAAATCTTGTCTAATTTTACTGCTTCAAAGCAGCCACACATTCATGTCTTTTAATTGTTTAAAACTTGAATTTTTAGGGCTTTTTAGAGGGTTTGGTTTTGTTTCCCTTGATGTTCCCATCCAGTATATTGTGCAGGAAATGTCTAATATAAACATGTAGAGAACAAAAGAAGTGACAGGCCTGTAAAAAAATCTATATCAAATAAGAAATATAACTTTTTTTAATCTGTTATGTTTACCATTTTTCTGTAATTGTAGGAAACCAACCCAAACAAAAGTTCACTGTTGCACTTTAAAGTCGTTTTATTAAACTTGTGTATCGTGTGTGAACACAACACTCATTCATTTCTTGAGTTTAATGCTTCTTATGCTAAAATGATTCATAGATGTTGAGTAGCTGATTAAACAAACCAGCTTTGAAAACCAGCCTTTCAGCAGTGATCGCAAATTGAAAATCAGCCGAGGTAAAATATCCAAAGAAAAGCTTTAAAACACATTTTTGAAACTATTCTTCAAAACTAATTTAAAAATTATAAGAAATGCTGACTTCATGAAAGCAAAAATTGTTACTATGTTTTGAGTAGTTGTTAATATAGGATCAAGTCAGTGTTTAAGATCATTTCATTGGATTTATTTTGCATATTTTGTTTAATCTTTATCAGTAGCCAGTGAGAATATTTATTTTTTAACATTTCACTTGAAAAAGTGTTTAGCGATTGCTCCAAAGCTGTGTAATTTAAATCTTTATTAATTTTCAGCATGGTGAGTTATTGTTTCATTTAATGTTTTGAACATTTCTGTATCCAGATTACATACGTAGAACAGCCCCTTAAAGACCCCACCCGTGCCTTGGGGACTTACGGTGTTAAGGATGGTGATGTGGTTGTACTTCGACAAGCTGACAGAAGGCCTCCACCAACCCAGCCGGCTTTTCCCGGTAACACATTTGTTAAAAGTTTTATAATGAGAACACAAGCTGTTCAGACTTAGACATTTATTCTATAGCAGGGCTATTCAACTGGTGGCTCGAGGGCCAAATCAGGCCTACAGGTGTGCTTAGTTCAGCGCACCAATGAGTTTATTTTTAAATAAAACCTGATTTTAAATCAAAAAACAATCTTCCTTAATGCAAACAACTGCTGGATGTCCGTCCGGTCCCTGAGCTCTTGGCTTTCAGTAACTGTGGCCCCCTGAGTAATTTAGTTGAATAGCCCTGGCCCCTGGTCTGCGGTGACAGAAATTGGATAAGTTTGACAAGACAAGTTTCAACATGCTAACCTACAACTCTTCATCCTCATCAGGCTTACCCCGTATTGACTTTCGTTCCATCACTGTCCCGGGCACCTCCTCCTCCTCTTCATCTTCATCCTCCTCAACTAATCAACGTGCTCCTACAAGGCCGCAGCAGCAGGCTCCTCAACTGCAGCAGCAGCAGCGCGCCGCACAGCCTTCCACACCAATGACCTTTCGTGGCCCCGCCCCTCAGGGCCTGGACAACCCTGCCTTACTTCAGCAGATGCTACTATCCAATCCACATGAGCTCTCGCTCCTAAAGGAGAGGAACCCTCCGCTAGCTGAGGCCCTTTTGAGCGGAGATTTAGGTTAGTCAAAAAGTCTAAACAGTCTTTTAATATATTATAACACTATTTGTGCTCTTTTGACTTAATATTACGTGATCGTGTTTATGCGACTCCTTCTGCCAGAGCGTTTCACCAAAGTGCTGCAGGAGCAACAGCAGGATCGAGCCAAAAGGGAACAAGAGAGAATCAAACTTCTGACTGCGGATCCTTTTGATTTGGAAGCTCAGGCGAAGATTGAGGAGGAAATCAGGTACCTTGAAACGGATCATCTAAAAATGTAAATATTTTCGTTGTCATCACTAGGCCTGTCACAATAAACAATAAATCAATTAATCGCATAATGAATGAAAATGATCAACCTCATTTTCATTTACCGGCTTTATCGTTTCTTCGTGTCTCTCTCTTTCTACTGAAGACACTGGATGACAAAAGGCTCAACTCCGGTGCTCTTCACTGACTCCTCCCTTTCTCTTTTTTCTTTAAAATCCATTTTAACTGTCCAAAATCACGTTTTTGGATTGCTAAAAGCAGCTAAGCTGAGAAGCTAAGCTAACAGGCTGACCTCGGGAAACCTTGTCGAGCTCCAAAATTCACGGTTGAAACCCACGCCTTCGTGTAAAAAGTTGTTTGTCTCTGCAAAAAGAAGCTGAGAACTTGTTTACTGATTTTTTTATTAAAAGCTTTCTGTGAAAAATGCTATGCTAAAGAGCTCAAATCACCGAGCATCCACCATATCACCATGTCAGCCCATGTCACGTCAAAGGGCCTCCCTCCCATTTTTCTTAAAGAGACATGCTGCTCAACTATTCATCCGTCTCTTATACTGCCATCAGGTGGTCAAAAAAAGGTACTACACTCCAAATAAATCAAAATTTCTTCTAAAATTTGACAATTAATTATTGTTAAATTTCAAACAATATTATCGTTTATCGCAATAATTTATGAGACAATTATCACCCAGCAAAATGTGTTATCGAGACAGGCCTAGTCATCACAGCTTTAAATCACGTGATATATTTTTGACAATGACAAATGTGCAATTTTTCATATATATATATTTTTTTTTAAATGAAAAAAAGTTCCTTCAGTATGTATTAATTGTCCTAAGTTTCTTCGTCTTGAATTTGCTCATATTCCAGGCAGCACAACGTGGAAGAGAACATGACAATTGCAATGGAGGAAGCCCCAGAAAGCTTTGGGCAGGTGGTCATGCTGTACATTAACTGCAGAGTCAACGGCCACCCTGTGAAAGCTTTTGTTGACTCAGGTAACAAACACAAAACCCTGATACTTATCGTGTACAAGACTGTGGTCCAGAATCAGAGTGGAGCTAAAGTGAAGGCAGACTACTCCGTGGGTTAGTTAGCCAAGTCAGAATATGGTGACCACAGTTTCAGTGAGGCCTATTGAAATGGATTTAGTACTTTTAAATCAAACTTGCACATGAGTGTGTTTAAAATTTCTGCACCAGATCTTCAAAAATAAAGTTGCAAAGGACACATTTATGATTTTATTTCCTAATTTTATAATTAATGTATTCGTAGCTTTTCATTTTGGAGTCTGATGACATTTTAGTTTAATTGTGGATCAATTTCACATTTTCTTTATGGTCTTAAATTTACATTTTTACTTGTTACACCTTGTGTCTGTAAATATGGATCTCTTTAAAGGAGCTGGCAGTATACATTTTTATTGTGCATTATTACTTAATCATTTTCACGTTTTCCTATGACACCTCAGAAGTTGCTGCTGGCCTCATTTTGAGTTTAAGAAAACTCTTTTATTTTCTATTGTTTCTTGTGATTAGGAGCCCAGATGACCATCATGAGCCAAGCGTGTGCAGAGCGCTGTAACATTATGCGACTGGTGGATCGGCGATGGGCCGGGATCGCCAAAGGAGTGGGCACTCAGAAGATCATTGGCAGGGTTCATTTGGGTTGGTGTCAGAATTTCCTTGTAGGAGCACGACTGTCCAGTATTTAGAGCAACACCAAACCATTTCTTTTTACCCCAGTGAATGAAAATGTTCTCTAATAGTGTGAATGTTTATGAAGCATTCACTCTGTTGTGATCCTTTTTCTTCCATACGTTTTTCTGCATCTTTCTCGTCCCACAGTTTTTGTGCTATTTCAACAAATCATAAATCAAAACGTTCAGCTCCTTCAGGACCATCCTGCTATGACTTTTTTTCTTGGTGCAACTTGAAAGTGTTTTAGAAAATTAATTGAGCTCATTTTACATCCTTCAAATCTTTAGATCTGTTTACAACCTTTTACTTCTTCTTTCACATTTTGTTCGGGTTCAGCTTTTTTTAAGCTTCCTTGTGCAAGTTTAAACTTTTTTCAGCTAATTTCAGCTGTTTTGTGCTCCTTTCAGATTCTTTCAGCTAACTATATTTTTGTGCTTATTCTAACTTCTTTCTGCTAATTTCAGCTTATGCTCTTTTCAGCTTATTTCTGTAAGTTTCAGCTTTTTCTGCTATTTCAGCTACTACCGTATTTAGCTGTTTTTCTGCTAATTTCCACTTCCTTCTTGTAATCAACTTCTTTCTGTTTTGTTAGCAACTTTTCAGCTGTTTATTTATTTTTTGCTTAATTTCTTTTTTTTTTTTTCAGATAATTTCCACTTTTTAATTAGTTTTTTTTTTTTTTACTTCTTTCAGCAAACGAGTTCTTTCTGCTTCCTTCTGCTAATTTAAGCTTGTTCTACCTTTTCAACTACTTTCATTTAGCATGTTTAGAGAGATTCAGCTGGTTTTAGATCAGTTCAAGTTTTTCATGGTAATTTCTGCTTTTTTCAATCTAATAACGTCTTTTTGCTAATTTCAGCTTATTTTCCTTTCAGCTTTTTCCTGCTAGTTTCAACTTTTTTGCTATTTCAGCTACTATTTAGCTGTTTTTGTGCAAAATTTAATTTTTCAGCTAATTCCACATTTTTAGCTCCTTTCAGCTCCTTTCACTTCCTTCTGGTACTTTAAGCTTCTTTCTGCCTTTTCAGCAACTTTTCAGCAATTTTTAAAACTAAATTTCAGGTTTTTTTTAGCTAATTTCCTAATTTTTGTGCTCATTTTTGCTTATTTAAACCTAATTCAGCAAATATTTGTTCTTTCTACTTTCTCCTCCTAATTTAAGCTTGTTCTTCCATTTCAGCTACATTTCAGCATGTTTTTAGCTAATTTTAGCTGTTTTTCAGCGAGTTCTTCAGCAATAATCAGTCACACTGCATTTTCGCAGGACATGCAATTTTTCTAGTTTCATGATTTGGCTTGGCTGTCAGATTAACACAGTTACTGTCTTCTTTATGCTTACATCTTAAGAGGTGGAAAGCAACGTTACATTTTATTGGCTCTTGAAGACCAATTAAACTTACTGGTATTTAACCCCAGAGGGAATACAGATTATCTGCGATGTCCCTCCTGATGGGTAAAACCGTTTTCTCCAAGTTGTTGGTTTTTTATATAAAACTCTTTTGGCTACTTGCTTTTTTTCCAGCTCAGGTCCAGATAGAGGGAGACTTTCTTCCATGTTCTTTCTCAATTTTGGAGGACCAGCCAATGGACATGCTGCTAGGCTTGGACATGCTGAAGAGACACCAGGTGGGATCGTCTTTCCTCTGAGCACATTTTGCAGCACAGTATTAAATCAAAATTCTGTAAGGTTAAAGTGGTGGTACAGATTATCTGGGAACAACGTTTGTCTTGTTTTTCTTCCAGTGCTCGATCGACCTGAAGAAGAACCTGCTTGTAATCGGAACAACAGGCACTGAAACGCGCTTCCTGTCTGAGGCGGAGTTGCCGGACTGCGCTCGACTGGCGTACGGCGCAGAAGGGCACGAAAACGCTCGTCCAGATGAGATTGCGGACAGAGAACTGGCAGAGGCGCTTCAGAGATCCGTTCAGGAAAGCGGTAAGGAGCTGTTCTCTCTTGAATCTGTTCTTCACTGAGATTTTTTTCAGCTCTGTTGGAGCTACGTGTGCATGTGCCACTTAAAGCTTCTTACTCTCAACCCCATTTATGCACTCATCTGGATTTTCACTCACGTAGTCACGTTATGTCATCACCTCAACAATTTGAATGTGCTGCAGCATAAAACGAGATCAGGCAGCTGAGAGATGTTTCTCAGTTAAGCAAAGCTCTCATTTAAAAAAAGATCTTGGCTATCTTCTTTATTGTTAAAGGACAACTGATGGTTTTTAGAGTGAAACTTTCTGTATTTATGACATTGATGCCTTTTCCCCATTCTATCAAATTTTGGAGAAAATAATTTGTGAAAGAAGGTATCAGCAGTTTAGTTTTTTCTCATTGCATCCTGTTCAGGACAGTTTTGGGTTTCTTTTGTAATGTGAGATTGCGTGGCTAATAACAGTTCAGATGTGTTTCTGTGGAACTTGAACACCGCACTTGATGCCACCTACATAAACAAACTGCAGAGAACATGTCGCTCAGAAAGAGGTGTAGGATGTTGTTTTGTATGAAGCGTTAATATTCAGACAGAATGACAAGATCAAAACAAGAAGAAATACAAAAACAAGAGGTAAAATAAATGGGCGATGTTTTCTCAAGACTGGAACCTCTGTGTGAGTGGGTGTCTTATTATGACATATAATGTCTTAAACAAATAACATTGTCATAATTACAGAAGCAGAATCTTATTATAAGTAAAATATCACATTTAATCAGAGAGGCTTTAGATAAAAAAATAAACATGGAAAAGATGTTCATACAGATTTAATCTTAACTAGAGAAATTGCATTTCCTGTGAAAATGCTTATTGCAGAAGAACTTGCAGAAAAACGGCTTTAATTAGAAGAACAAAACTAGTTTAGCAGAAGAAAGCAGAAAGGAAATGAGCACAAAAAATTGGAAATGACCTAAAAAAAAGCTCAAAT